AAAAATATTACAGAAGATAGCAGTTTATATTTTAAGATTGAAACCATTGAAAAAGCCAACTGAATCGTTTTTGACCTAGTGTACTAGTTAAAAAATCATTATATCATCCTACAGGCAGTTTGAAAATAAACGTCAATATAGAAATAATAAATAAATGAGAGCATTCATGTATACATTGGTGAAAATATGAGACATAAAATAAAAAGTTTTTTTTTCATATTCCAATCTTATTGACCTTTATCCTTTTTATTCAATTAACCTCCTGCTTATGCAATTTTGTAGAGAAATTAATGATTTAATATTAAATTGTTCTATCATTTTGCTAAAGACTTAAGAGTTCAATTTAATAGCCTGATAATGACATGAAAATACTGACCTTCATACATTTGTGCATATTGTGGAAAGCCAGCTGCTCGTAGCCATTTACATGCCTCCTGAGCCTCGATTTCTAAAATAATAAAAATTAGTATATTATTAAAAAATATTGAAAAATGATGTAATGTTATTATAACACTGAATGTCTATATTAATTATATAATTAAATTCAACTCAATAATCTTTTACGTAAACAAATTAGATACATGTTATAATCGTATATTTTTAGAGCTACAAGTCATCGACACTTAACATATTAATACTGACGCAATATACTCTAAAAGGACATGAGAGTTTTTTTTTGCTTTCTCACTCTCTTTCTTTCTCTTTTCAGTATTCATCTACTACACGTGTCTTTTATTCTCAGAAATCTATACACGAATACTACATTCTAAATTTGAAACTTGGCGGAAGGTTGGCACATCATGATCTCAATTGATGTACAACAAAATTTACAACTATAACATGTGAAGATCTTCCATGAAACTGGTGAACTCGTACATCCTACGATGTACATGGAAATGATTAACTGGTCTAATTTGTCTCAAAGAGGTAATTATATTGCGTTAATTTCGTATTTCAATTTATGATAAAATGAATTTATTGTGGAGTTGAGATGTACTAGTTGTGCTGAAAGATTTTTTGAAGAAGCTTTTAGTTACTTCTGATGTAAAGTTTGAATCTCATGAGATTAAATGATTATTTATTAGAGCTACTAGACCATTAAATAGTCAGGGTTCAAGAAATAGATTACTTATGAATTTTTCAATATTTAAAAAAAAGTTTATGCTAAAGATTTTTTTTTAAAACAAAAAAATTTTTTGATTGCAAAATAAATATTATTTAATATAAAAAAATTATCTTATTTCATCACATGCTGTTGGAGATTATTTACTCAGTTATTAGTAAGTATATAATAACAGTATTGTAATTGAAGAAACTAGTAAATTGTGTACTTTTTTCTGTTATTGAAAGATATGTGCAACATTATTACATCAAAATAAAAAAAAATAATTCGAAATATTTAATAATAAAGTTGAGTTAAATAATAACAGGCTATTAAGTTTATTAAGTAATTATTTACCACAAAAAATTGTTGATAATTATTTGATATAATTCTAGTAATTGTTTAAGAAAAACCAGTTAAATTAAAAAAAGAGAAAGGAAAATGAGAAAGAATACCACAAACATTTTAAAAAGAAACGTGAGTGAAGATGAAAATGGTAAGAATAAAAGAGTCAAGCTTTGTGAACTTAATATAAATTGTCACAGAAATACATTAGAAGTAAATTACGATACTCCAACTGACCTCACATTTCACAGAACACATTACTACTGTAAATAACATTTTCATGAAAGTAAAAGTTTATTTTTTTAGAGACTTTCGTAAACTCGTTTATCCATTGATTGCTTATATGCTCATCTTTTGAAAGTATATTCAACATTACAATTTCTATCGATTTTTTATTTATTACTTTATTATTTTAATATTAATTATTCCTTTCATTTTCATTTATCTGTTTAAGCAGTTGGATTTAAATGAAAATTGTTAACATCAACAAAAAATATACTGTCAGATTTTAAATGTAACAAAAAAAAGTGAAAAACATTTGAATTTATCTAAGCAAGTGTAATTGACATAGATATTTAATTGTTTGTACGTCAACAAGGTGCAAGATTTTCCAAGTGTCACATAACAAGAAGAATAACAAGAAGGAAACACTTTTAAATAATTTAGTTTTAATTGCAATTTACAAGCTGTTAAACGGAAAATGTTCATATTTTATCAAACAATAAGATAAATAGTCATTCAAACTAATTATCAATCACGATAACAATAATTTTGCAATGAACTAAAAATTAATTTTTCAAAAAATTACAAATAAAAAAAAAGTTAAATAAATAAAGTGTATTATTGAATAGTTAAAAATTATTACAGCATTTGAATCGTAACTTTTAAGAATAGAAAATAATCTCCAATATACCATTCAACTTTCCACAATATATTGTGGAAAATTCACCGTGAAATCAATTTATTCCAGCACTTAATATTGAATTCAAAAATAAATTAAATTTTCACAGTAATCATCAACATAAAATTTTCTTTACGTAATAGTCGAGTATGTCTATATGCTAATCACAAAAATCAGTTAATAACTAAGTTAATTAACTAAAAATAAATATCAATTTATTGTATGTAAGATCATCTCAGATTAGAATAGATTTAATTTAAATCTCATCAAGTTGTGTTAAATTTACTTAAGACGAGAACTTATTTCCTTCATCTCTCCTAAGATATTAATAAAATGGCATCAATAATATGATGAAGTGCATTTAGATAAGCTATTTTCGTTACACATTTTGCGCTACACTTGTTAGTACTCACTTTATATATAGTTCTTCGAACCCTTTCGTACACCAAAAACCAGAGTAAAACGAGATTTAAAAATGATTACAATTTAAAATAAACTCATTTCTCATTTTCCCTGAACTCTAATTAAACAGTTTCATTTGTACTCAACAACAAAATAAACGCGAATTACACTGATGGTATGTACTTGAATCAAGTACGTGTAATTATCAACAACCTTCAAAGTAATAAATAACTGCTACGTTGGATAAATTAATAATTTCAACAAATGACAAATGCATGCTTAAATTCAGATGAGAAAGTTTTATTTTACTTTAGCTAAAGTTTAGTAATTAATCAAAGAATTAATTGCAGATTTCTTGATTTTTTTATTGCTAAATTATACGCAGTGAAAATTAATAATAATTATATCAGCTATTGGATAATTATTATAAATAAATTGAAAGTATCAATCAATTAAAGATCTTCCAAGCTAACATACACATTTTAACTTTCCATTTTTTGCTGATTATGTTGAACTATTAATAGTGAAGACTTATAATAACATTTACAAGTTAACGAGTAAAAACAAAAAATATGTTTGACATGGAAGAAGATGAAGTTTAGTAAAAAAAGGCTTATATAATGTTTAATGCGTAGAAACAAGAGCTTTAACATTTTTCTTCAATGAATGTAATCATAGAGGAATTTTTAGCTTTTTAGTTAGGTAATGATGCAGAATTATTTTTAATAAGTCTCAATTATGCGTAATTGAGTTGAATAATTAAAGATTTGAACTTGAAAATGTATTTCAGTTAAAACTTTTATATTAATTTTATAAATGTGATATTTTACTAATAATTTTGGATCATGAACATTCATTACAGACATAATATATCTTATTTTATTTCATTTATTCATAACTCTTATTCACTAAATCAAGACTTACTGAACTAAATAAAATTTAAACTCTAAAATTCTTTTGTTAATAAAAAAAAAAGTAATTTTTTTTATAATTAATTAGAAATATCACTAGTTAAATTGAATAAAAATATCATTAATTACATCAGTATTTGAAACAAAAAATTAATTTTTTATCTATGAAGATCTACGATTTAAGTTAATAATTGATGTAATTATAATTTATTAACTCATTCACGAGGAAAGAGACTCATACAATAATTCACAATCATGCAAAGTGAGGCAATTATTTTTAATATACTATTTCCTTGATAAAAATAGAAATAATGATATTAATTTTTTATAAAAAAAAAACGAGAAAAAAATAATGAAATTATGATTCTTCAAAAAACTTGTCTTCAATTATGAAAGTAATTAATTTCGTCTATTGATCATATTGAGATCCGATGCTCACTAACTAATCAATTTCATAATTGATAATATTTCGAAGCATTACGAAATTTAAAAAAGATTGAAGGTCAAATGGTTTAATTTTCATTACTTAACTCAAATCCGGAATATTTGTTACAAAGATAGAAATTCTTGTGGTTAACTCTACGTTCATGTTTCAATTGAAAACGTTTTACAGTGATTTTAAAATCACATTCTTGATGTTTCTAAATATTAATTACTTTCAAATTGACATTTTATAACAAAAAAATAATTTTTATTTTAAAACAAATCCCCTCTCAACATCTCTAAAATCGATTATAGTTTCTCTTTTAGTTTTAATTAATTTTTTATTTTTCAAGTTTCTTTTAATTAACAATTTTTAATAAATTTTAACAAAATTTTCATAACAGACTAAAACTTGCTATCGTATTTTTATTAAAAATTTAATTGAAAAAAAATGACAATAAAATTATTCTTCTAGAAGAAAAAAAAAATTTTTATAAATGACTAAACTGAATTGCCCAATAAAAACGATCGTTATTTTCGTATAAACTTCATGTAGGAAATATTGTATCTGTAGACAGTACATGAGTTTGGAAAGGCGCTGACTTATAAAATGCAATAGAAGTGTACAATATAAGCGTTGTTCTATGCATTCCGCGGCTACGCAACCGAGGTCTATTACCTACGTTTAAAGCTTGCTGAGTTCTTTCATGTAAACCATTCCACGTATACAAGACTCTTCCGTTTCACCTTTCTGATACTTATACAACCAATTTTCTCTTTATAAATAACGTGAATTTTAGCATCAGCTTGGACGGTTAAACCGTTTAGTGGACGTGAGATATCAATCAATGTTTCATTAATATTCTCATCATTAGAAATTACCTAAATGGCTCATTATAGATTAAACTCACTAACTAATACCACATCGTTACTCTGAACCTATCGTTGCTTCAACAGTGACCCCCTGACATAGTAATTACACGTAGAAACAAACAAATATCGTAGGTTGAGATGTGCGAGGCGGTATTTTTTCTTATTTTCCTTTTTTTTTTCTCAATATATATATTTACAACTCAGTGATTTTTTTTATCATACTCTAAAAATAATGCTGAATAGTTGAACCATCATGCCAAGAGTAGATTTTCCAATTATTGACAACCTGAATTAAATGATCGATCGATAGAACCAACCAAGTGTAATATTCCGTATTGTTTGAGAAATAATTAAAATGCTGGGTAGCTGTTGTAGTTTTCGCTTATAGCTAGACTGAATCAGTCTGTATTAAGTTTTTGCAGAGTATATAAATTTACTATGTATTATTTAAGAGAAAAGTACTAAGTAAAAAATAATAATAACTAAATAAAGGTTACTTGTGATATCAATTTTTTTCTCTATATCTTTTCATTCATCATTCGCTAATCAATATTCTTTCAATATGTTCATACAAAAAAAAATTATGCGACAATTTAGTTTCTTTTTTATCTATTATTTTGTTCTTTCAAAATAATATGTATAGAGCTAGTAAATTTGAAGATATATTATTGAAATTGATATTATATAAAAACAAAAAATCAAATATTATAAAAGTTAATATTATATATTTCAAATGAATTATTATTGAGAAAAAAAAATTTTAAATAATTCAAATTACTGCACATTCACTTTTTTCTCAACATTTAGAGGAAATGGTTTATATTCTACACTGAATCAAGTTAATGGAGAGTAATGTTGGATTATAAATATTTATAATGAAAGAAAATCTCTGTAATTACTCAAAAGTATTTTAATTAACAATTAATTCATTTCGGATATACATTCGAAGATAATAATTATTTACAATAAATAAGAAACCTATTTATTATATATATATATAAATCATTTTTTAAAATAAAATGCAAACATTTGAGTTGAAAATCAATTTTCTTCAAATATCTATAAATTAAGCCACATTTGATTCATCAATTTCTGTAATATTCACTAGAGAATATTTATTCACTGTTCAATAAACACAATAATTATTTAATTAAATGAAAACCATTTAATTTCAATGCAATATAACAGATTCAATAAAATCCAAATATTTTATTTAAAAGAGAAAATTTTTAGAATTTTTAAATCTATTTTAAATGATTAAATACAATTAGTTTAGTTAATAAATAATTCTCATCCAATAAATCTTTCAGAGTTAATATTTTTACAAATCCCTCATTTAATTTCTGGTTGTTTTATTTCGACTTTCTACTATGTATGAAAGTGTTTGATACAATAACGATATGCATTGAGTTCCAATAAAACAAAAACCCTGGTGTATTGTCACCAAATATCTTTACCCAATTGTGTATATCTACTTTTTTTGACTGATATTAAAAAAAAAAAGATGAAAAAAATATTCATCGATTTTTTTTCTGCTATTGTTCCTTTGATATGTACACGTATTGTTCCATCGAAATCATTTAAAAACGCGGAAAAGATCGTGTTGCTCATACTCTTGCTGTGAGGTGATACGGTGGCATGTAAGTATCTTGCCTATTCATTTCATTAAATCTCGACTCATGTTTCTCGCAGCACATCGGTTTGTGGTTTTATTCCACAGCCAGTTTCTGCTTCGAAAGCATGAAGAAAAAAATAATAAAGAGAAAAAACATAAAGACAAATTAAAATTCTTCTCACCACGGGCCGCTCAATGTTAACCGCAACACTGCCCGGAAATTTTTATCTGATAGTTTTCTGCGATATCATGAGCAATGAATCAGAACTTATTGCCGTTCAATAGTAGTATATATAACAATTATTGACTAATAGATAAGATAAAACACTTATTGAACTATTCTACCTAAATGGTTAAATAATCATTAGATATACCTGCAATCTTTCGTTCTCTCATACGTCGCCACAATGCTTCAGCTTTTCTCATCGGCCAATTTTCCACTTTGGCACTGAAGCTACGGAAAAATTTGTACTCTTTAAAATGCGACATTCTTCTGGCGGGATTCTCAAGAGTTTCTTCAATATTCGTTGACATGGCAGATGAAACCCGAGTATTATCTTCCGTAGACATATTTTACAAATTTTGCGTCAGTAATTACTTCAACTTATTTATAGTCTGGTTTAAATATAAATATCTACTCTTAAAATCGTGATATTTTTATTTGGCAATAGCACTATTTTTATATCACAGTCTAAGTAACACTGCATGTAGCATTTTTTGTACTTCCCGAAATTTCATGCTCTAATTGTTCGATCACAAAGACCGAAAGATAAAAAAAAACGAAATACGTAAACCAAGTGTGTGAGGAAAAGGAAGAGGAGAAAAAGTGAATAGTTGAAGTTAATGAAGTGATTTTTTATCAGAATGTTGATGTATAAGTCTTAGTTGATGTAATAAATAATAAAAACAAAAGGCTTGTAAAGTAATATTATGTATGAATTACAAATAGTCACAATGATTTATTGAAATAGACGTAAAGTCTACAAAAGAAATATCACATCACTTCTTGCAAATCATCAGTGAAAACAAACCAACTCTCACATAATTCATATGGAGAGAAACTATTGATAGAAATGACTTTGAATGATGTAAGGTAATGTTACAAAGTTCTTTTGCATTGTTTGATAAATTAGACGTAGGTCTTAGTAAGTTAATTCAGTGAACGCTCTGTATGGACGCCACTTTTAAACTGTAGGTCGGGTTTCCCAATGAAGTACGTGATAGCGGGGACTTCTAGCCTCCTCGTTAAATACCGAAGCGCATGGAAAATCCAGGCGCAGGCGTCTGAATAGCTTTTATCATCAAACACCTGGACTTGATCGGGTAGAAGACTTCTACGCTCCTACGTCTATTCATCTATTTATTTCATTCAACTTAAAACTTATAATTAACTTAAAAGATTCTTTCATAAAAAAAAAATCATTCACCCTTGACCTCATTTGACACGCTTTTTGATGCAAAAAATCCCTCTAGAAACAAATAGCTTCAATAATTCTACGTACACTTGGTTCATTTTTACTCTCAACAAAAAAAAAACATGAAACAACTCCAACACAATTCCAGTAATTAAATAAAATATTCAAAACAACAAAAAAAATGAAATAAAAATGTATACTTACCAGAAAGTCGATTGTTAGATTGAGAACATGGCAACTGGACAGTCTGCAAAAAGAAAGCTCAATTAAATATCATATTCTGTTAGTACTTCTTTTTATGTATTTCTCTTTTTTATTGAATCCACGTACAATATTTTATTGAGAAATAAAACAAATATAAAAACACTATATCCCAATATTACAGCCAATGGATCGATTACTTTAAAAATAAAACATACTCTTTTGATTGTATCCACGTGTCGTAATGAAGCTTGAGTGACCTGATATGTATTTCTATAATTTTTATAATTAACCTGAATCGATTCTTCTTATTTATCTTTTTAATCTTTTTATTCTTTGTATGAAATGTTGAAAATTTTCAATAAATTATTACATTTGATATTACAGAATTGTCCTGTTTAACATATAGCAAATTAATCAGAGTTAATGTAGCATAAATATTCCTTCTCTGTTAATACTATTAATTATTGTTAAAAGTATAGGTTTGAAACACGTTTATTTGATAGGCTTGGTTTAATAGTTAAGTCGTTATATTATATACGTGGTAAGAGAACGGTTTATTTAGAGGGTTGAAGGATGCCAACCGATTAATGTGGGACACGGCTCACTGAACGATTTCCTTTGATCATTTACTATGTACAAGCATACATGTTTCCCTCTACTGTTTTATACGAACCGCCCCAAACATCCTATCGTGCATTCAAAGGGAAGTTAGGTAATGTATTGGCACGTCGTATGGTGTCCTTGTATTGACAACCCGTTAAATGTCTTGTGAGTGGATGCCGAAATTTATTCAAGGTCCTGGTCTGAATTAGCTCTGAAGAGAATAAAAAAAATCAAGTGGCAAAGCCGATTTGTTTTACATATGTCATAATAAAGGAAAAAACTATAAATCTTTCGACCCTCAGAAACCAAATTTAGCATTTTCGTGCTTTAAATATTTTTACTTCACCTTACGTACGTTTTTAGATTATTTAAGAACAGTTCAACAGGTTTTGTTTGAGATGTTTTATTTACCCTAACTTACTTACAGACGTATCGATTGACCGTTTAGTGACTGAAATCAGTCTCTCTGTTCTTAAAATATCTTTATTGCATTTAAATAAAAAATAAGCTTACATTTCTGGATAAAATCTCATTAATTATCATCTTTTATTTAATTTCATGCTATTTGGATGTGAATTATTTCTTAAGAATTTAAATAATATATATAAATTTTATGATGAATTTATATACAAAGCCATTTAATTAAAGATTTTTTGTGAAAGTTTAATCAAATTCAGATTTAAATTTCATAGAAAATTGAACAAACTTTTTTTCAACTTTATCTATTTTTTTTAAAGAATACAGATGTAGAGGAACGCAATTAAGTCAAGATTAGAAATAAAAAATAAGTTTATGCATTATATAGTTTAGTATGATCAATCACATGGAAATCCTTTTCAAAATTCACAAAACGTCCAAAAGTAGTCAAATAAATGATTTATTTTTTGATTTTCAGTACGATATCATTTAAAGATCTGATTCTTTTCAAGATTAAAGATATGTTTTAAAAAATATGCTTTTTAAGAGGAAATAAAAATTCCGTGTGTAATTTTAGAAATAATAATATAGTATTTTCTACAAAAATAAACAAAAAAAAAATATTAGAGAGCAGTAAATAAAAGCAGAGACGTTTTGGAGCAGAAACTAAAGAATGAAAAAAAATTCGTCAACTCCTAATTGAGATGTAAGAGATGGTATAGACATCTGCAATTTTCTAGTGCCAATATTAATGTATTTCTTGTTTTACTTTTACTTATTTTAAATAAACTTTGCCATTTTCCTAATAGACTTCTAACTTCCTTTCAATCCTACATGATTGACGATCACTAAGAGACTATCGATCAAACTAACAGCGTGTACATATAAATGTAAATAGCAAATTAATTATTATAATCTGAATTGAAACAGTTAGTATCATTTTGATGATTAACATCAGCCAACGTCGATAAATAGTAATTTCTGTTATTGTCTAACTTGAAGCTATGATTTCAATTTTCTCCAAAACAATATGGATATTTTTAAAGATAAGTTTTTATTAATTTTTATAAATTCTCCTTCTAAATCACTTAAAAAGATATGAAAATTGATTGCTTTATCAAAATACCTCCAAAATAATGAATTTTAATTGTGTGAAACTTATTAATACTGATTAAGCTGAACCAATTTGTACTATGAGAATAACGAGATAGATAGTTATTACAATCATGTAGTCACTGATGCAACTAGTTGGTTAAATAAAATGACGCTATTGTCAATTAATTAACGTGATTATTATAAAGTTTATTATATATAAACAATACATTACACCACATCAAAAGTAATTGAATTTAATTTCATCATGATATACTTTAGAATGAAATTTTATATAAAAAGTGTAAAACCACGATAAAATTATATTTTAATTTTTAAAAGTTGAATTCATTAATTATTAATTTAATGTTATTATAAATATTACAGATATCAATTTCAAAGTTAAATCATCTATTAAACTGAAAATAAACATCACTTGTTATTGACGATAACTTGCGATCATTTTAAGAACATAAAATACGATTTATTCAGTGATATTAAAACTTGATGAAAAATACTTCAATTATTGAAAGAAAAATATTCCATAAAAATGGAGTTATTATCTCTGACAGTATCGAAAGTCAGATTAAATTGAGAAAAGAAGATTATCAGCTCTCTATGTCATGTAAGCATCATGTCAAAATTTTGAGTTTTTTATTCAACCATTTTAATGAAATAAAAATTCGTTATTTTGCTAGACATGTAGATATTTTTTATGACCTATTTTTTCAGTTTCTAGACATTTTAAAATGCAAGAGTTCATCAAAATCTACTATACAGTAGTGTAGTTTTAACTAAAATCAATACTTTTCATATCCCTTAAGCGATGAAAAATAATAGATGTTTTTTTAACTTACCTCATTGATTTCTGTGGTTTTTTCCACATTATTATTTTCAAGGAATGGTGCACTATTACTTTTTTCACTTAATTCCATCGTAAGTGGCTCATAGTTGAGCTGAAGACTGGCAGTGGACGGTGACGATGGGATTTGCGACTCAAGCATTTCTGCTGAACTTAGGGAACTACTGCCTGTCATCGCTAGACCTGAACATTAAAAGATAACAAACTAATTCATTAGAAGCTTATAAATTATACCAAGATGAATCAGTAATTTTGTTGAAAATAAGATACAAACCTAAAGGAAGGTGTGATGGTCGTGGTGACTTTTTTCTAGGCAATGTATCATCAATTCCACTACTACTATCGACAGCTTCTTGAGAGCCTCCATTATCACATCTAGGCGTTTGGACATGAATACTTTCTCTCCGAACCCACACATCCGTTGATCCTTTTACTGAACGTGTGTTGTTTGATTTGAAACTTCGTTTTCGTAACTTTTCCCACGTCTCTTTGCGATGATGTTTGTTACTGATTGACGCTAAAACCAGAACATTTAATTAACATTAGATAAAATGTCCAAGTAAATACTGCTATTTGGAAATTTACTTGGGTTGAATAAATGTTATAATCTAAATAATAGTGTAGGCTTACTGTTTTTATGTTACTTGAAATGAGCTTTGATACAAATAGCGTTAATTCGATTGGGTCGAAATTCATTAAATAATCAGAATAAAAAACATGGTGAAATTGGGGTATCTAAATAGATATTTGAATTAACGTCAGAAGAATAAAATAAATTACTATTATTTCCATTGAGAAAATTAAAATCGGATCAGTATTATATTATTAATGCTGAAATTATATTAAAATTTATTGGATTAATAATTCCTTGATATTCTACTGTAAATAATGCAAAGCTTCTCGAATAAAGAAATAATTTAATTGGGCAATTATTAAATTGATAATTGAATAAATTTATTAAACGATAAAAATATTTATCTCTAATATAAGGTACTCAATAATTTGTATTAAATTAAAAAGACTTTTATGTCAAGTATTTTCCGCAAATGTATTTAGGCCACCAAACAGAGGAAAAATATCAAGACAAAACAATAGGAAAGAATATGAATCCGTATGCTGAGAATTTTCCACCACACGAATTTATCTGGGTTACGAGACTAAAAAGAAACCGAAACAATAACAAAGAATTAAGGTAATAAATCAGTCTCGATAGATAGTATCACTACCACATTTCTCATGAAAAATGTCTGGAGTAAATACTCATAAGAAAACATTCGTTCAAAATACTCTCTTAAACTAACATATATGCTCTATAAAATGTAATTTTTTTTTATTTTAAAATTTTTAAATTTTCAATTAATTAAACGATAGATATTAATTTTAACAATAAATGTGAAAAATCATTTGATATGAAATTTACTCTCTGTCGAGTAGAATAAAATGATTAAAAGGATTTGATATTATCATTTGTTTGGCATAACGACAATTCTAAACTGTTACATACAAAGTTTCGAATTGATCCATAAGATTTATTAGATTATAAATATACTACTCTCTACTATATTCAATATTACGATGAGATTAAGTCAACTAAAATCCAATTCACACCATAAATCGTGTCTATCAAAATGGTAAAAAATCATGTACATAATTATTTACGTTTTGCAGATTGTCGATCTGTACTTCGTGGAGGACTTGCTGTACCAATTCCACTTTCTAAAGGTGAAGCTCGGTCTATTGTATCCGGCGAGATACTACCAGAAGATATTTCATCCATGCTTTGAACAAGATCCTGCGATGAGGAGGATGATCTGTTGTCTTCATCAACGGTGTCGTGTGGTGATGCTGGATCGAGCGTAACTTCGTCGTGTAAAGACTCACTATCTAACTGTGATACTTCTGTAAAACGTAATTAAACCAGGCAGTTATTAGATACCTCAAACATCAAGCAATTACTTATTTAATATTATATTTGTCATGCATTTAAACTCTCTAATAGTTTTATGGATGTAAGTCATTTTTATGTCTACTGAATACAACGTATGCGTGGGTTTTATTCGTGTCTGAGTGGAAATAATTTGAAAATCAATTCTATATTTAATAAATAAAATATCTAATATATGAATAAATAATATAAAGAAGAATAATTTTAAAATAATTATTGAAAGCTATTTTTAAAAATTACAATGTTATTTAATTAAATAAGTTAATTGAAGAATTCAAGATATTGCGCTAAGAACACTAGTGATCATCTTCAAAGTTATTCAAATGACTTGTTAATTTATAATAATTGTGATGACACTAAGTAGTTTACACATAACTTGAAACTTACAGTGTAATGAACAAATTAAAAGTAAAAAAATAATAATACCTCTTAATGATTCACAATCATTGACCCAGAGAGAATTTGAACTACGAGAAATTACTGGAGACGTACGAGAGTCCGTATCTACACAATCAAATGCTCCAATATAGTCCCCTTTAACATCCTCCGATCTGTCGCTTTCAGTACTGATATCCGAAATGTTTCTGTCGTTCTGTGAATTAACTTCATCGTCTTTCATTACAGGAAAAAATACCGCGTTTAGTTTAACAGGACTTATTTGATTAATATCTTTATCTGACTCTGACAGTCTTTTGGCGATGATATCAGATCGCAAAGTAAAGGGAGAAATTGCCCTCTTTTTCTTAGAAAATAAATTGTCGCTAAAATTATGAGTCTTTCCATTCAGTCGGTCTTTGGAGATGTCCAGAAGATCTTGATCTGGCAATGATGATACCCTGACGAGAATTGCATCATTGACATTATTTTTATTGACGAAAGAATGTTTTTTTCGGAGAATTTTGGAGAAAGGAGGAAGACTTTTATCTTCTGATGAAGAAACTGGCACAGACTTGTGAAAATTTTCATTCGGTGACTTGAATTTTAACATTAAATTATCATCACTTTCAATCAGAACATTATTGTGATCTTGTGAATGTTTTTCAGGTACTTTAAAGGCTCTCTGGAGTGTACCTGTTGGTAATTTACATTTAATCAAACTCACTGGAGTTACGGTGTTTTTTCGATGTCGAGATTCACTATGTTTAGGTGGCATTTTTGGACTATTTCCTTCATTCTCATTAGTCGACCCTCTTCTTCTTAACGACTTGAAACTTATATCTAATATTTTCTTTGGTTTTACCTGAACAATCTCGCAACACCTCGAAGTCTCTTGTATTTTTACAAACTCGAGGTTTGCCGGTAGACTAGAACTATTACATTTTTCATCATCCCATATTCCATCATTAATTTCATCATAATTAAATCTTATTGTTTGGTTCTCTTTTCTTATCATTCTTCCATCTGGTATACCTGGCTCACTACCACTTTTTCTATTTAACCTTAAACATGTTGGAATCATATCTTTGGGCTCATCATAATCTGAGTTCAGACAGCCTTGTTTATTATTATTATCAATATTATCATTATTCACAGGTAGCGATATCTCATCTTTTAAATTCCAGTTATTATTTGCTTCTACTTTGCTAAAATTCTTCGATTCTTCATCAACACTATCATCATCAGAAATTCCAAATTCACTCAACAAGTCTCGGTATTGAATCACTGGAGTTTCAACAACATTAACTTTCGAACGAGCATTCAATGACTTTACATAGACAGACAATGTCTTATTAGTTGGTGACAGTTGATTGGTCACAATCGATTTGTCCGGTGGACACTTTGTTTCAAATTTCTTACTCGTCAACTTACTTTCTCCAGATGCCTCTACCGATTCGCCTGGAAGTGAAGGCACTATAATATTATCTATTTCCTCCTGAAACAGAAACAATTACACTCTGTTAATTTGCATTTTAATAGTTATTACTATAGTAAGTATTGATACATTAGCTAACTTTGTAACGCAAGAAATGCTTTAATAATTTCTTTAATAAAACCCATTTCATTGGAAAGTAAACTGACAATTATTAGAGTTCTCAGTTTATCTTTCACTATAATTTTTATCATCAACTTACAACAATAAAATTAACAATTACAAAAAAATATTAAAAGTCTGGTACAGTATACATCACTCAATTCTATCTGAATGACAGAATTAGAAGATAATTAGCTTTTTATATGACATATACATTAGCAAGTGGTTTTCACTTTCGAACAACAGACGAGTGATGTACATGAAAATGAATGAAAGAAATTTAATTTAAAGAATCAAAACAATTACAGTGTCTATAAAACTTTCTTTGAAAGTTGAGCAAGGTGTACACATTTAATGTCAAGTTGTGCTAATCATACACATCACTAAACTAATCTTCAATATCGATGATAAATGAAATCGGTGAGAAAAGGCCAACATTGCAAATATACTAGTGATCCTTGGCCTCGCTTTTGCACCAATGCGGTCACTTGTGTATCTGGTAAGGAATTCAAACAGTATATAGCTATTTACAAAGTCATTGGGGTTTGATATGTATTTCCAACAAACCAAAAGATATCAGTTTCACGCTTTTTGCTTTTACCTCTGAAAAGCAAACTATTGGAGTACACATATCTTGAAAAAAAAAAAAAGAAAACTAAAGCAATTCTTTAGATAAATTTTTTCATCAAATATGGATTCAAAAGGGAGCTAAATATCAAAAAAATATGAACAGAAAAAGTTCATGTAATGATAAAAAATTATTTTCAAAGTTAACAGACAGTAAATAAATACGCAAGAGATGGACTTGAACAAAAAATTTACTTGTTTGGTTGCTTCAGTATATAAAGTTTTATGGATCAGTTGCTAAAGAGAAGAACATTAGTGTATATATATTTATCTATATGATTTTAAATTATTATCTTATTCCAAGTCCCATAAATTTCAAGAAAAATAACCAGTCGATTGCAAAAAAACAAATTCTTGACGTCAGAAATACATATGTATAATATAATACGATCACTTCATGCTCATCGCTGTAAATCCTAAAAAGCATGTTCTCCACATACATATATAATATTGAAGACGAGTGTTTAATTTAAGCTTCAGTTCAAGTGTCTACCTCAATTTTTCAGGGAAATATTAACTTCTAGAGTGGGCTGGGTAGAATCATTATTGTTTTAGATGAAAAAACAAGGTGTTCTTCAGAAAGAATGACATGAAAATAAAACAAAAATCATCACATGTCCATATTTTTGAAGAATTATTCTGTCACGAATTTTTTCAGAGAAAAGGCTAGCAAGAAATAAATGTGAAATTCTCATAAAGGATCTGAGTCTTCAGTTCAATCAAAGGGGCAAGAAAACCAAACCGGTGACAGGGACACGAAACAGATGGTGAGCCATATGGTGGACCCAATAAGTAACAGAGAACAGAGTAGCAGGATTTTACCTTTTATTATTGATAATAAAGGATATTCATACATTTCTGATGATGGAGAAAACGTGCGACAATCAACTCGTCAAGATAAATGATATCTCATGTTTTGTTAACATGACCACAAAATTTTTTGTGTGAAAACAAGATTAATATAATTTATATTTTAATAAAGGAAATATTTACAAATATTTTAGAGTCAAATTTCGAAATGTCTGAACAAAAAATTAGATAAAACTAGAATAGAATATTTTTATTACTTTTAAAGAGATTATTTACTTTGTATTATAAATATCTGGAAGATTAAAGTCTACTTAAGAATCGAGCAATAAATCAACATGAACTTGACCCAATTCGAGACTTGTTTAGATCATTTCTATTTCTCATGCTGGGGAATATTACTGTTGAGTAGATCGAATAAATTCCATCGAATTCTGAGGATTTATTTCAAGATCAGCGAGTGATTTCGAATTAATTTAACACAGATCTCGTATTTTAATTTTTTCTTTTACATCTTCGAAGGATAAGCTTTAAAATCGAGAAATTAGTTAGTTTTTGAAGATTAAAAATTGTTATAAAAAATATTCCACACACAAACGATTGATTAAGTTCATTTAATACTAAAAATATCAAATAAAACAATGGAAATTCTATAACATGCGATATTAATAGTTTTAGACACTGTCGTTTTCAACTCAACAGTTGGTATTGATTAATTTAGCTACAGCAACTGCCAATTTAGTTACTTGAATTAGAGTTTGTTAGATCATCAATCAACAATATTATATTTTTTTAAACAAATAATATTCATATTGTCATTCTAAAGTGTTTATGTTTAAATATTCTCATGAGAATCACATCAGCTGTCATTGAAGAAATCAATTTAATATGTAATCTTTAAATAAATTACTTTCAATTTTCTTAAAACATCTAAATGAAATGGACATCATGTCCTTTTCAAATGTACATCTCGTGCTAGAATACAAAGAGAAAGAATGGAATCTAATGTTGGGAAACTTTCTTGATGCTTGCCTTTATTTGTAGATAGTTTATCAAGTCTATTCCGAAATATGAAATGTTCCAGGATTTATCAAACTACCCGTATATTGTGGTAAATAGGTCTTGCATGTTAGAGGCAACTGTCAGTTCTAAACGTCATATTTTATTTTAGTGAGCTGAAATCATTCAAGAATAGCTTGACGTCAGTAACATTCCCATTGTTATATTCTATTATTGGAAGGCTTCATATTTATAAAATATCAACTGGTAAAATAATCATATTAATTCATAATTCAAAACATTATTAAGAAAAACTTCAGTTTTTTTATCTTTTCATTATAGACAGTCGAGACAATTACTTCATCAATTTAAATAACTTGATACCTGTTTGAAAGCTAAGTTGAGGCGAATTAACGTAAGCTATATTTTTTTCTAGAAAAATCTCAAGTTTTCATAGAAATTGTTGAGATCAAAACAAAGTCTAGCAATGAAAATTCCAGCAATGATCAGCCCATGATTAAATATGTGCCCAACTCTCCAACTCTGGGATACTATCCAAGTAAAACGGATGCCTGACTCATTTATTTACCAAGCCTGGCTCAGGATCAAAACCAAGTTCGTGCCTTGCCAGGAACACTTAGCCAAGCGTTGAACCAGACCTAGGTAACAAAGTTTGACATTTACAGTTGAACCCGGTTTCAACCTATTGTCAATATGTGAGGCAGGATTCCAGCCCAGGAATCTATTATACAAAGATTCTTATGTAGATTCAGGACGAAAGATATTTTTTCATCAGACGATTTCTATAGAATTAAATAAATACAGATGCCCTTTAAAAATAAAGAGAAACCAACTTGCTCCAAAACTACTACAAAAATAATACTTTTATCAAAAAGAGCAAAATTTATGTTGCATTTTGTTATCTTGTGTCATTGGCATAAATGGTATACGAAAAAAAAATACGATCTTGTTTCTGATGGTATTCTAGCGAATAAGAATAAAAATGCAAAGATACGATTAAAAAAGGTTTATTTGATGTGTGTTCGAGTTTAGACAGCTAAAAAAGGCTGAACGACTGTTCAAGTACGTACTTAACGATCTCATCTACATATGTACGACTAAACGTAGGTGTAAAAACGGCATAATTCTAGGAAAGGTCTTAATTAACTGTTTCTATTTGATCGGCTGCTTTGAAATTACTAGCTACATACATTTAATCTCGTATGTCAACCTAACCGCCATCTCTCTACTAGCATTGGAACCTGATATTGCTTTCAGGTTTTACATTCTTGATATTGTAACTCTCTCCATTCACCAAATATTTACCCAATCAATTTTTTATGTGGTTATTTTATGAACATTCTAATCATCATTACTTATAGACTTAGAATTAAATAGCAAAAAATTTCACTTAATTTCGTTTGACATCAATTTACTGTAGCTTTTTCTCGCCCTACTTAGCCATTTTTTCTTACACTTTCTTGTTTTTATAGAAAATAAACATTAAGAGTATCTGCAAGTGTGTGTATTCATTTAGTATCATAAAATACATTGAAGGACAGGCAAAAAAAGTGATGGTCACTAAAAGGTCTTCCCACACAGATTCATACTAAGATTACATTACCAGATTCTCACCGGAAGGATCATATTGCCCTTGGCACACGCTATCTATGACGTCCTCCAGAGCTTTTTTTCTACTTTTCTTCAGCTGCTTCATCCTCTCACACGGATACATTTACATTTTATAACTGTGGATTACCGAATTAACGCTTGAATCGTGATCAACAGGTACCCATTACGCTATTCAACCGTACTCTTCTTTCTATTTAAAGCATCAATTAACCAATTCTTCCTACCATATCATTATGGTATGTCATTATTTAAGTAAAAAATCTATTTCACATGCTTATGTCTTGTAGCTATTAATTAAATTATCAGTTTCAAAATGAAGGTTTATGCTCTAATTCTTCCTTTTCCTCTTGACGAAATATCATCTTCCTATTAAAAGCTTCGATTTAAATGAAACTGATGAGTCACTGTTGTTGAAATAAAATTATCCTGTTTTTGGAGTAAAATAAAGTTTCGCTCCAACTATGCTCCAATGATTCTGCAGCAAGACTATGAGTCAATGTAATGATTACAAATGATCGGTAGTTGAACAAAGTTATTGAATAGAATAAGCAACATTGCCTTTTCGAATAAATACGACTAGTCGTGCCCATGCGAATAATTCGCACGAGGGAATTAACTGTAAATTAAATACGACAATAAATCCATTTAATGGCGATAATAAAATTCTGTCAATAAGGCTCATCAAACTCACATTCTTTGGAAAAATATTTTTTTATGGTGACTTGACTATGATAATATATATGAATGAGACTAAAGATGATAACATACAAATGAAATATCATTTTCACCTTTTACACACTTTCGATGTCTAATCACTGTTAGAAATTAATTAATGTTCTTTAAAAATCTCACATTGATTTATTGCCTATAAATAAATTTTTTTATTGGAGTAAAAATTTATAGAGTTTTAACAACGTTTATGGTAATTATAAACGATCGTATTAATCAATAAAAAAATTTCAAATTAATCAATTATGAATAGAAAATAAGGTAATGAATAGTAAGTAATAAAAAATAGCTTGTTACAAATAATTATAGGAATTTGGTTTGAGCAATAATTGAATGAATTAATTTATTAAAATCTCTGTTAATGAAGAAAATAATATTTGAATAGAATAATTTTGTCACCAGTCAGAACGATTTCAGCTTCAGCTTCAACTCTTTATCAAAAATAGGGTATGCTATAAGTGGCAGAATTAGATAACGAGCATTCACTTGATAGACAAATATGAATAAACTCTAAAGTAAAAAAGTCTTTACTTCCGCTGATAATTGACAGACTTCTCTGATAGACACACAAATACATCGAAGTCCATCTTATTACTGGATTCCACTGGTGTGTTTGATAGTGGGCAGAAAATGGTAGATTTTGCGAACATTTCTATCAGACACGAAACTAACATCCGACACACCCAACCGGATGCGCGGCAGTCCTACACTCCAACACCCACACACACGTGCTACAACTCGTATTTTTCTCCCTCTACTCTGCTTTTTCTACCGTTCCCTGCACGTGTTTCCATCGACAAACCACATTGTACATATACCTACATAAAATATCGCCATCAAGAAAAAGAAGACTTCTGCAAAGAATCTCGCAACCAACCACTACTACCCTCAACCATCTGGCTACCTTCCTACACATGGGAGACATTTTATACCTAAACTATGAAGACAATGACGTCCAGCTATGCCTACTGAATTGTACAACAGTCTCGAAAGATTAGAAGAAACATCGTACATGCATTTATCGCATTTTCCTAGATATGGGACACATTCTTTAGTTTCATTGAGCTGCTTATCTTTTATACACAGAAAATACAAAAGATTAAGAGCAAACTTGTGTGGTAACTGAATCCCCATGTTGACTCGAAATTTTAAACATAAATATTACCTAAAAAAAACGCAGTTACATCAACGATATAGAGCAAGCTTGATTACATCGACGTGAAATTCCAGCTGTGATACGATATCACAGCGGGACTGGCTTCTAAGAAATCAACTTCAATGTCTAGTATACAAATGAATGAAATGTGCAACTTACTTGCTTACATGCTTTCATTCAGCAAATTATTATTCATGACGTTTTCATTTTTTTCCCCAACACCCGTGTGTATGTGTTTGTCATGCATAATGTATAATTAAAAACCAAAAAAAAATTATATCTAAGAACACACATATAAAATAAACTACGTGACCGTTATATGAATTGATAATTTAATTAAATGCCAAACTCATTACTATAATGTTTCAGAGCAAAAAAAGTCATTACATGTAAATAAACTTTTCCTTCAACTGTTTCAATTCTCCATGAATTAAATATTCGAATGCTTACACATATGTATGTCAATATCATAATAATGACCTCTTTGATCATCTGCATCTCATTGGAATTTAAAACAGAGTTCTTTAAAAGCATTTTAACGTTTAAGCCGATGGCTATTTCACTTGCATGAAGCACTCTAAAGCCTATTATAATGCGTACTAGTGATGATGCAGTCAGACTAATATACTCCTCAGTATTATTTCTATTCTCTATTACACCAAGTCCAACTCAACAACTGTCGCCAATAACAGTTATAAAAAATTCTTTATTCCCAACTCACTATGACTTTGGCGAGGTAAAGCTCAAGTTCTTTGTAAGGATCCATCTTCCGTGATGTCACGGAGAAATCCGAGCTTATCAGCTTGCCGGGATGATGATCATGCTCACTTTCAGCAACTGCCGATCGGTCGGATCGATCGAGCCTGCTGTTGTCCTCCTGATCCTGACATGAGATTTCATCGTCTATCGATACATTGACTTGCCGGCTTTTGACGTTCTTCACAGTATCCATTGCCTCTACGTCACCTTGAATTTAGCTGCATTTTCATATGCCTCTGCAAGAGAAATAAAAGTCAATGTTAGTGAAAAATGACTTTGAATTATTGCTTATTTTATTCAAAATAATTTTTACCAGAGTATTATTTATTACTAGCATAAATTCAAAAAATTTTGAAAAACAATTATCACACACGAAAAGTATCACTCTGGAATCTTCACTCCATTGTTGATGCTCCAAAATGAGAAAGTCTGAGATAATTTATGAAATACTATGTCTAGTAAAAAATTATCACATTGTAGTAAATAAAGTAGATTATTGATTGATTGACTTTAAATTGTTTTACTATGTTAAGAAGAATATTAAAATTCTTAAAGAAGTGTTAATAATCATGTTAAATTAATGGAGAACATGTCATTATCATATGAAAAATGATGTGCAACAAGTCTAAAGATTGACTTCCTCCACTGGCATTTAGATTTTTTTGTGCCAACTGTTGCGCCATAAGTGAAGGGCTTTCATCGAGTCATTTCCAGATAGAAAAAAAACTATGAAGGGAAGTGGATCCCTTTCATGCTGCCGGAATAATGCTAAAATGTCTTTGAAGGTTTTCTTAAACCACTCTTATTTTATACGATTAGCAAAAAAATTTTCTTTCCTAGTTAACATAATATTTTTTTAAAAAAAAAGCCAACCAGTATTGAAATTTTATTTTAACTTTTATGTTTTGGACATTGAAGTCTATGTAATAGATGTTTACTTATCAAAATAAAAAATAGAAGGTCAAAATTAGCTATGTGCAATCAATAAACTATTTTATCTACTTATTTTAGTTACTTTCAATTTACATTATATCACTAAACCAGTTACTTTCTGTATACACCCTGATTAATATTATCGTGGAGCATGTATTTTCCGCTTTAATGTCTTTTTTAATCGCCGATGCACGATTCTTCTTACCGAGTTATTATCAAACCTTTCCTCATACGCTCACTTTGCTCATACGTAATGAATAAATCATCGAAAAAATGTTTTTAGAGAGGCTTTGAAATCACCGAAAGTATTATCTTTAAAATGCACTCATCATTTTTTTTTCGTTATTTTGTGGAATGAATAATTGCAGTTTTAAGAAAATTTTTTTTTAACCTATGAAAAGTAATACAGAGATAAAATCTTGAATTTTTAGTCCCGGAATTTATAGAAAAATACAAAAGAATTCCCGAGTGATTTTAATTAATGTATATTTTATCAACTCAAATAATGCTTGAAATCAAGTTTTTTTCATTAATATGCCTGAGAGTAACGTAAGTATCCATGAATTAAATTGTATAATGATAAATAAATTAATTTCTCATAAATAAAATATTCTTTCCAACATTACAGTGTTTTTGGAGTGAATAAAATTAATATTCATACCGAAAAATACATTCAGCTTCACAGAATTTAAAATTTTAATTTTAATCTCGATTAAAAAATCACTGAAAAACAATAGAAACTCACAGTAATCTTTTAAGTTCAATCCCAAGTTAATCGGAAAAAAATGTTAAAAAAATTTCTGGAGAAATGAAAGCTGAAAATTCCAGCTTAGTTTTATTTTTATAAAAATGCTTTATATTTTTATTGAAGCAGTAACAAAAATAGGCAGTACTCATAAACGTATGTTTTTTGCAAGTTGCTACGGTTTGTTTATTAGATACTTATGAGTTAATAGCTAACTTGAGTTGGAATTTTTTTTTAATGCGAGTTTTTTTCAGAGTTAATTTTATTCAGAGTTAATTACCGAGTACTCAAACTAAACATGTTTAATGTTAGCACATCGATCATTTTATTTTGGAGCAGCAATCATTTCTAAAACAAAACCAACATTGACTCTAAATTTATTAATAGAAAATATATTGATTTATTTTCTTCAACATTTCAATTGTTTTTAATAAAATATTCTTTTGAAAGAACAACTCAATGACTAGAAAGTGTACATTTATTTACTGGTTTGAAAATCTAGATAAACTAACTTACAATCCATTAATAGTTTTCTATTTTCACTTAAAAAAGAATCTGTCATACTTTTCATATCTTTCAATTCAAATGATCAACACTTAAGGAAATTTTCTGTTATCAGGAAAAATAGTGAGATTTAAAATACGATGTGTTGATACATATATCTAAATATTAAACACAATTAACGAATAGTAGAAAAAAAATAAGGGATAAACTTTAAAAAAATGTTAATAAATATTGGTAAAAAAAACCATTCAGTTTCAATGAAAGCAAATAATTCAGCGAAAATGATTGCTAAATATATAAAAATATAAATTTCATCTGAAAGAGCAGATATTGAGAGTTGCTCAATATAATTTTTTACAAGAGGTTTTGGAATAAGTGGTTAACTTATTGCGAGAGACTTCAAAAGTGTTCGAGTGATTTTAATCACGCATCTGTATGTTAGTATTATTAATATAAATAGCCTCTATATCTTAATATTTTTTTCCATAAATTTCATTAAAGCATTAATTTAACATAAATTTCCGGCCAGAAATCTCTAGGAAATAAATTATAAAGAAAGTCTGCATTAAATTATATAGGCATGAATTCATAGAATTTAAACAAACAGTATAATGAGAAATAATAATAAAGACTTGATTGTAATATTTTAGTACAATAACAAAGTGTTTATTGAGTGAAATGTTAAATTCAAGAAAAATAACCACGCCTCTATTGTGACTTTTTATGTAGTAAATTAATGTCCTTTCAGTGGCTGTAAGTTAATGCAGACCATGGTATAATAAAGTTGGCAACGCTTATGTGTGATCTAAGTCCTTGGAAGATGAATAGGAATGAATGAGAAAGCCAAGATATATAAATGAGACTGCATATGTCAAGATAGAAAATACTCCTCAACTGTCATTTCCACGTTGTCTCTGCTTTTTATCTTTCTAATTTACTTTTAGTTATCTATGCTAGCTCTTCCTACTTGTTCTTGTCGCGACGATGACTCACTTGAATGAACATACATAAAAGAATAAAGACTATAAAAGAGACACTTGGTGAACAAACTCTACGTGTGCAAGCTCCTAGGTGTGAACGCAAGATCGAAGCCTTGAGAAAGACGACGCCATAATGATAACATTTGTCCGATAACCTAGTAAATAATAGTCAAATAATCGAGTGTTGACGTCGCAAAGAAAACGAAATATTATATCGTCAGCAAACATTGCATTTATACTTAACAGCATTTAAATGTTTTCAAATGAAAAACTCTTCATTCCTGAAGGGAATAAATTATTATAAACACGTGCAGGCCATATGCCACTGCGGTACATTCAGGAAAGACCAAAACTACGCAATAAGAGAAAAACTTTCTCCCCCTCTTACATTTTAAATGAAGCTCTGGAGATTCATATAACACACTTTTAAGCATAAACTGGCTTTTCCATAATTGTTTCAAAGAAAACGCACTCAATGCTTCACAGAAATATATAATTTTTTGTTTTTATAACAAAAACAACATAAAACATATTTTTTTCTCTTTATAATAATTAATATAAAATACTCAGGGTCATGGTTACATATTTTTAACATTTAGTTTTCCATAAATAATATTGTTTAAAAATAAATGAATGACAAAATCGATGGAAATAACTTTTTTTTGATGGAAAAAAAAATTAATGCTCCAAAATAAAATATGATAATCGATAAAATTGTACTATTTATTATTAATAAAAAATAACAACGAAATATAAAGAACATTCATTTAATCTTTAAATCATGTTCATAAAAATTTATATTAATAGAAAGAGTGAAGAACAGAGGGTGAAGAAATAATATAATAAATTGAATGCGAAATTTTTTTAATTAAACAACCGAATAAGAGGATTAATAAATAAATGCAAGAAACGATACGAATCAGTGAAAAGATGAAGACTGCGTAGTAGTGAACGGAAAATTTGTTCTCAGCGTGTAAACCAAGCCTTTAAAGAACTGTGTTAATTGCAAGAGGAAATTAATATTTTAATGACTTTAACGAAGAGTTAACTTGATATCTATAAAGAATTAAGTAAAAAAAAATTAACATAAGTATAGTGGATTATTAATAAGTAAACGCAACAAGTTATATGTATCAATGAAATGTAAATAAAGAGCTGGAGTGGTGCAAAATAAAAGATCTGGCGTTATCTGTAAAACAGAACTATCTACATATTGACTTCGGTTATTTTCAACACCATTATCCTTATATTTTTGTTCATGTGTTACTTATTCATAATATCTTTGAAAAATTTATACATTCGATAAAAAAATATTAATAATAGTTGATACTAATATTTATTGTGCTGATAATAAGATAATTTGTTACAAAAAATCGTCATCATATTTATTGTTATCAATAAATAATCATTAAGAAACAAAAAATAATACTAATTAGATAATTGACTTCTGTTATCAATAGCAAATACAGATAAACTAATGAAGTCATCGATTGTTTAATCAATAGTTAAAACAGAATTATTATTACCAATAGTTATATTATTAGATAAATGATAATTTATTTAAGTTATCAATGAATCCAAATTTCAGATTGAAAAAACATTTTAAATCAATTAATATTAATTTACAGACACAAATTGTCATCCAAAGTTGTCAACAATAATAAAACAACAATTTTAATTTAGTTACTTCAATAACAACAATTAATTTTAATGAAAGTAATCGTGCACTTGCATGTTAAAATACATCAGTATATTTATAAATTATCCACAGTATAAAAAAAAATTTTTTTAATAATTCAAATTAAACTTAAGACTATTTTAGCGTTTATATATAATTAGAATGTCTAATTTTAACAAAAAAAAAGATAAATTATCTTTAAATGTCAGTCAAAAGTTTTCAAAGTTTTAACAAAAAATTGAACAAAAATTCATTCATTAATATTGAAAAATATTTTATAAAATATAAACTAAAAATAGGAAATAAAATTTTCTAATAAATATTCATAGGAATATGTAATTTAGAGAAAATATTTGAAATGGTGTTGACTTGGTATTTGATATTCATAAAATAATGTCTGTCATTGGTTGTCTTGAATGTAGTCTTCTATGTACAACATTGAAAAATGAGTTGATAACAAGATAATAACAATGTAAATACAAAGAATGATGGTAATCGAAATTTTTTCAACTGCATGATACT